CAACACGACCCGTCCTCACCAACACGACCCGTCCTCACCAACACGACCCGTCCTCACCAACAAGGACTGGTGGACACTCACCCCCCCCCCCACCACCACCCGCTGGTCTATAACATGTTGCTTCAGGAAGTGTTTGTCAGGGGAGTCTACCAGATTTTTGTTTATTTGATTTATTAATACAAGAGTATAACCATGAATGGTGCCCAACCATGCAAGTGGTTGGGCACCATTCCTTCCTCCCGTCCCATCCCAAATCCATATCCTGACCTCTTCCAAGTGCAATATAGTCGTAATGGCTTGGCTCTTTACCCTGATTTTTGTTTTGTCTTCCCGTCACCAACTATTACTATTCTTAGTATTTACTTTTGCTTATCAGTTTCCTCTGATACTTTAGCTTCGTGAAAGCTCCGAAGTGTGGTGGTAGCAGCAGGGCTTCCCCACCTCCACCTGTCTTCACACTATCTTATCTTATTGACTGATAGCCTAGTGGCAAGATTTAATTTCCTATAACACTTGTTAGTTTTGTTTCTGTTATTGTTATAATGTGCGGCTGTTCTTCTGCCACACTTTCCTGCAACTCTGCCCCTTTATTTCCAGTTCCATCTGCATTCATTTTGACAATTTTAATGCTACTCATCTCTACTGACCTGCTTTGGTTTCCACCACTTTGTTCCTGTTGGTCCACGACCAGTTTCACTAGCTGCCTAATCTTTCTGTACTCGTGCGCTGCTTTTGCTGCTATCATGGTTTAGAGATATTTACTTGCTTTTCTTCCCACTATCTTTGCTTCCTCACTATCTTCTTGTGACATGTCCTGACTAAAGAATATAAATACGGAAAAATACTGGAGGGCCAGGTCCTAAATTTACACAATAAAATAACAACATACTGGAATGAACGATATGGAAGGAAATGCACAATAGAAACAGTAAAGAGTGGAGGTGCCATAGGCACAATCAGAGAACACTGTATGAACATCAAAGATATACGCTTGTTCAATATCTTCCCAGAAAGTATATGAAATATTGGTGGAACAAAGAAGACTTCCACTTCTTGAAGTCTTCTAGGAAAATGCTGGGCAGTTTTCTGCAAGAAGTACTGGACCAACCGGGCTGTAGTGGATATGTGGGCCCGCCGTCTGCTCCAAGCAATAACCTGTTAGACATAGCCCTCACAATTCATGCCTGGCCCACGGCCGGGTTCGGGGAGTAGAAGAACTCCCAAAACCTCAACCAGGAACATCCAGGTATGTCATGATCATGATAGTGCTTTTTATCCCTCAATTTCCTCTTTTCAGCTTGTATATATTTAACAGGAGTAATATTCTGAAAGATCGTTTTCACTGGTCGATTATGTCCAAGTTGGAACTTCCCTAATCTACATTAATGTTCAATTTCCCCTGGTTGTCTCATTAGACTATGTTTTGGTGAGAATTTACGTAATCTCTTTCTGGTATCACTGCCTTCTCCTTTGCCCTGTATCTTCATGTGTCAATGTGTCTTCCTCTTGGTAGTGGTGGTGGAGGAAGCAGGCGGCGGTGGAGTGCCTCTAGGTGTTAATTTGTGTCCTATCTTAGTGGGCAGATGTGGCGCTAGTGATACCCATTCTCCCCCTGCCCCCCCCCCCCCTCCTCCTCCTCCATCACTACTCCCTTGCACCTCCGTCTCCTTCCTCTCCTGTCCCTCCCCTATTATTCCCCTTCCTTTCTCCTCCTCTGCTCCTTCTCCTCCCAATTGTATCCTTCATCTCCGCTTCACTTCCCCTTCCTCTGACCAGCTCCTCCTCCTCTTCCCTCCTCTAACTATCCTCAGCTCATTTCCTCCCTTATCCTCAAACTATTTTATTGATTTTGTAACGTAAATATGTTACTCCTATATTAGGACTACTGACGCTTGATACCGTGCTCCTCCCCTAATACTCTTACACTGTTAATGCTATTACCTCCTGGACTGAGGTATGTTCAACTCTGTAACTACTATATGTATTACACACAGAAATCACAATTGCGTGATGCATCAAATGAACAAATCCACAAGGGCCGTGACGAGGATTTGAACCTGCGTCCGAGAGCATCCTAGACGCTGCCTTAATCGACTGAGCTACGACATGGTCAAAATCGAACTTGAGCTTGTAAAAGTATCTTTAATTGCATTCAGTTGTTAAGTGCTTAATGACACACTAGTTTTTATATATGTGTGTTGATATATATATATATATATATATATATATATATATATATATATATATATATATATATATATATATATATATATATATATATATGCAGGTCCCCAGCATGGAGGCTTCTGGTATGTTGGCCCCCAGCATGGAGGCCCCTGGTATTTCTTGCATATTTGGATCCTAGAATAATTTTCCCCCCTAGTCGTTGGGAAATAGGGTCGCCACGACCCCTCCTCTAGTGTGGTGGTAGGGTGGTAACCACGACCAGGATGTGACCATAGGCGGATGTGGTGGTGGTGGAGGTGGTGGTGGTGGTGGTGGCAGGAATTACTTAACACCCACTCCACGTGCGCGCGTACGCCCGCCCGCGCGCCTCCACACACACACAGCACTTAATGACCACAAAAAAAAAAGAATTACACTACCACCTTCGCCCCGTCTCACCCGGCAAGGTCACCTAGGCATTCCGTCCTCCTTATTTGTTCATTAATTACTCAGCTGCTTAATTGCACCTCCTGTAGCAGGTCCCTATAGCTGCTGGACACACACACACACGCGCGTCTTGGGAGACTTATTAGCGAACGTTTTAAGTATTTTTGTGTACTTTTGTACTTATGAAAGGATGATGACATATTTGTCTCTGTTCTTAGTTTGTTGAGCTGTTTGGCTGAGCTAGGCTGTGCCGTGCTAGGCTATGTTGTGATGTGCTATTCTGAGCTGTACTGTGTTAAGTTGTGCTAGGCTGAGCTCTGCTAGGCTGCATTATGCTAGACTGTGTTGTGCTAGGCTAGACTGAGGTAAGGTGTGCTAGGCTGTGGTATATGGTGAGGCGGGGTGGGAGGAGAGGACCCGCGGTGAGGGGGCGGGCATGCCCCCCGCGTGCCCGGCCAGCTGGTGTCAGTGATGGCCCCTAGTGACGATAATGCCCATTCCTGTGGTTTCGGGCGGAAGGTTGTAGATGGCGAGAGAAAAAAACCCGGGTCACTCCGTCTCCATTCATTGAAGACTGGGCTTGATTCATGGCGCGGGTGCCGCCTCTTGTTTAGTCACAATAATTTCTTCTCTCGTTTTCCGTGCCTCAATGATCGTTTTGTTGTGCTCGTTTGGATATGATTTTTAGATTAATGGTGTTTTATTGTTATTGTCGTGAATTAATAAGTAGCGGGGTCACTACAGTCATGGATAGTTAAAGTAAATGTTTGTGTCTGGCAGGTTAGCATACGGGGCAGGGATGCGCAGGTGCCACATCTCCGGGGTCGCACCTCACTGGCGAAGGTAACATTCGTGCCCGAGCGATTCCCACAATACTTCGCCATCTTTCAAACATTTTCATCCACTAGGTGACCTGCTCACCGACTCATATGCACTTATATCAAATTTACACGTGTTCTCTTTTTCTGTTTTCTAAACTTATACAACTAAAGAAAAAAATCCGGTTGGAAAGTGCAGCTCTGGGCGTCAGTGTGGTGTACTGGTGTGGCGGAGGTGTGAGGTGAGCGAAGCTTAGAGTGCAGGTGGATGTTATGGAAGGTGGGCGGCGGTGAGGGCGGGGACATGGCAGCGAGGCGGGCGACAGGTGAGGGCGGCTATGCGAGCCCTGGGTCGACCCCAGTGTGTGCTTCAGGCTAGGAAAGTCATCATTATCTCCCTCTCTCTCCCCCCATTCTCTCCTTATGTATGTCTCAATTCCCCCATTCATGCTAATGATGCCATCCCTGCTGCAGTTGTTTATTCTGGCATTATGACTATGCTGTCATTATAGACTTCTTGGTTCTTGACCAATCACAATGTAAGCTGCCTGCCTATCGCCTCTACTTTGACTATATCAGCCAATCAACACCCACATTACTAGAGTTCTGCCCTCACTAGCCAATCAAGCCCGGTGGTAGTCATTAAGCCCCCGGTAGTGGTCCGGTACCGCCGTTAGTGGTCGTGTAAGCCAGTAGTGGTCCACCACGACCACCACGACAACCTGTCCTCCTAACACAACTTCCCATTATGACCTAGACTTTACCTAAGGCTAAAAATTGTCGTACCAGAAAATGGTAGCGGCTCACGAAATTGGCACACTGTCCCGGTTTTTTTTTTGGGGGGGTCCTCTGGTAGGTTAGGATAAGGGCGCTTTAGTACGATAGTTTCTTGAGGTTGGGGAGCCATAGGAGGGCGGGCTGAATGGTCATCAAGTTCTCTCTAGCAGTCATTAATTAAGTACGTTTATTGAGACAATATAATACATCTCAAAGGGATAGAGTAGCTAGGCTATTTCTACCTATTCTTAGGCGGACCCGTCATGAAGCCTCACTGTTGAAGACATTAGGTTCCCGGTAAGTCTTGTAGTGACTAAGCAGACCCCGGTAGTGACCAAGCAGGCCCCGGTAGTGACCAAGCAGGCCCCGGTAGTGACCAAGCAGGCTCCGGTAGTGACCAAGCTGGCCCCGGTAGTGACCAAGCAGGCCCCGGTAGTGACCAAGCAGGCCCAGGTAGTGACCAAGCAGGCCCCGGTAGTGACCAAGCAGGCCCCGGTAGTGACCAAGCAGGCCCAGGTAGTGACCAAGCAGGCCCCGGTAGTGACCAAGCAGGCCCCGGTAGTGACCAAGCAGGCCCCGGTAGTGACCAAACACGCCCCGGTAGTGACCAAGCAGGCCCCGGTAGTGACCAAGCAGGCCCCGGTAGTGACCAAGCAGGCCCCGGTAGTGACCAAGCAGGCCCAGGTAGTGACCAAGCAGGCCCAGGTAGTGACCAAGCAGGCCCCGGTAGTGACCAAGTAGGACCCGGTAGTGACCAAGCAGGCCCCGGTAGTGACCAAGCAGGCTCCGGTAATGACCAAGCAGGCCCAGGTAGTGGCCAAGGAGGCCCAGGTAGTGACCAAGCAGGCCCCGGTAGTGACCAAGCAGGCCCCGGTAGTGACCAAGCAGGCCCAGGTAGTGGCCAAGCAGGCCCAGGTAGTGACCAAGCAGGCCCCGGTAGTGACCAAGCAGGCCCCGGTAGTGACCAAGCAGGCCCAGGTAGTGGCCAAGCAGGCCCAGGTAGTGACCAAGCAGGCCCCGGTAGTGACCAAGCAGGCCCCGGTAGTGACCAAGCAGGCCCCGGTAGTGACCAAGCAGGCCCCGGTAGTGACCAAGCAGGCCCCGGTAGTGGCCAAACAGGCCCAGGTAGTTACCAAGCAGGCCCAGGTAGTGACCAAGCAGGCCCAGGTAGTGACCAAGCAGGCCCCGGTAGTGACCAAGCAGGCCCCGGTAGTGACCAAGCAGGCCCCGGTAGTGGCCAAACAGGCCCAGGTAGTAACCAAGCAGGCCCAGGTAGTGACCAAGCAGGCCCAGGTAGTAACCAAGCAGGCCCAGGTAGTGACCAAGCAGGCCCAGGTAGTGACCAAGCAGGCCCAGGTAGTGGCCAAGCAGGCCCAGGTAGTGGCCAGGCAAGCCCAGGTAGTGACCAAGCAGGCCCCGGTAGTGACCAAGCAGGCCCAGGTAGTGACCAAGCAGGCCCAGGTAGTGGCCAAGCAGGCCCAGGTAGTGGCCAAGCAGGCCCAGGTAGTGACCAAGCAGGCCCAGGTAGTGGCCAAGCAGGCCCAGGTAGTGGCCAGGCAGGCCCCGGTAGTGACCAAGCAGGCCCCGGTAGTGACCAAGCAGGCCCCGGTAGTGACCAAGCAGGCCCCGGTAGTGACCAAGCAGGCCCCGGTAGTGACCAAGCAGGCCCCGGTAGTGACCAAGCAGGCCCAGGTAGTGACCAAGCAGGCCCAGGTAGTGGCCAAGCAGGCCCAGGTAGTGACCAAGCAGGCCCAGGTAGTGACCAAGCAGGCCCAGGTAGTGGCCAAGCAGGCCCAGGTAGTGGCCAGGCAGGCCCAGGTAGTGACCAAGCAGGCCCCGGTAGTGACCAAGCAGGCCCCGGTAGTGACCAAGCAGGCCCCGGTAGTGACCAAGCAGGCCCCGGTAGTGACCAAGCAGGCCCCAGTAGTGACCAAGCAGGCCCAGGTAGTGACCAAGCAGGCCCCGGTAGTGACCAAGCAGGCCCCGGTAGTGACCAAGCAGGCCCAGGTAGTGGCCAAGCAGGCCCCGGTAGTGACCAAGCAGGCCCCAGTAGTGACCAAGCAGGCCCCGGTAGTGACCAAGCAGGCCCCAGTAGTGACCAAGCAGGCCCAGGTAGTGACCAAGCAGGCCCAGGTAGTGGCCAAGCAGGCCCAGGTAGTGGCCAGGCAGGCCCCGGTAGTGACCAAGCAGGCCCCGGTAGTGACCAAGCAGGCCCCGGTAGTGACCAAGCAGGCCCCGGTAGTGACCAAGCAGGCCCCGGTAGTGACCAAGCAGGCCCCGGTAGTGACCAAGCAGGCCCCAGTAGTGACCAAGCAGGCCCAGGTAGTGACCAAGCAGGCCCCGGTAGTGACCAAGCAGGCCCCGGTAGTGACCAAGCAGGCCCCGGTAGTGACCAAGCAGGGTCCGGCAGCCAAGATGGCGGCCAGCCTGAGGCCTGGGGGCGGGCACTGATGCATGACCCGGGCGGGACCTTGCGAGGACGCGGGCTCCGAGCTGCAACTCTCGCTATTTCCTGCTTATGTAACAGTGATTTTCTCTCCCATTTTTTTAATTTTATTCATCATTATTTATTTATTTCCGTAGTATGTAAACTAATTTTTTTTTCTGCTGGTGTCATTTATTAACATGATTTTTTTGTATATATATATATATATATATATATATATATATATATATATATATATATATATATATATATATATATATATATATATATATATATATATATATATATACATATATATATATATTGTGTTACATATCTTCATACATTATATTTCATTGTTTTGATTTTTATTATATATAATTTTTATGTATTTCTGAGTAATGTTTGACATAATTAGTCATGTTCATTGACCCATTGTCAAAGTTATTTTGAAAATAGCCTATATTTTCCCCTTACATCATATAGGACCTTTAAATGTCTCCAGGAGGACGAATATAGTGCTATGGATGTTGTATAAGGCATCATAAAAATTTATTATAGTGTCATATAGGATGTATTAGGGACTGATTAATATATAAGGTTGTACATGTTATCAGGTTGGGGGGGGGGGAGTTTTGTAAATGGTCCAGAAGGCAGGGAATGTATCAGGAGAGGCTATACATTCTGCAGCCATTTAATTACTCTTGTCATCTATCTTATCATCGATATGCCGCAGATTTGATTACCCTTTAGGCTTTACATTAGGCTTTACATTGCGTCGCTTGTAAATTGTCTCTTGGATCCTTCCTGACTCATTACTCATTTTTTACTCTCATTAGTGCCTCTCAATTTATCCATGCTATTTTATAATCATTAGTAATATTAGTTTACTAGTATCTCCATTAATGTACACATACCAATGCTGCTCATTTCAATTTAGCTGGTTTGATTTTATCTGGAGAGGGGCTAGTGGTTGTGGTTGGCCATAATCCTATACCTAGCGTGGAGGAGGCATGAATTGACCCATAGTGACTCGCCTACTCATCTAGATGAGTATAAGGTGAGTTGACTCACTAGTTGACCTTGTTGTCCTCTCTGTTGCCTGACATACTCTTGCTCACTACTCTTAATGCTTTCCTTCCATTTCTTACACGTTTTTCTTTTCTGATATTATTCGCAACCTCACTATTCCCAATTCCTATGTCCTCGCTTATGTAGACATTGGACGAGTGCCTATTTCCCATTTTCTAACATTATTTCACTACAGTATTATCCTCAAAGATCATCAGGATGATTACTCCTTCGCATCATTGTGTGGTAATGTTTCCCATTGATGAGAGACGTGGTGAGGCGCCTCCCCCGGGGCCAGGCTTAATGTGCCACATCCCTTTTTAATTACTGCTGGGCGGCAGGGGAGGAGCTGGGCGGCAGGGGGGAGGGTTGGGCGGCAGGGGGAGGAGCTGGGCGGCAGGGGGAGGGGCTGGGCGGCAGGGGGAGGAGCTGGGCGGCAGGGGGAGGGGCTGGGCGGCAGGGGGGAGGGTTGGGCGGCAGGGGGAGGAGCTGGGCCGCAGGGGGAGGGGCTGGGCGGCAGGGGGAGGAGCTGGGCGGCAGGGGGAGGGGCTGGGCGGCAGGGGGGAGGGTTGGGCGGCAGGGGGAGGAGCTGGGCCGCAGGGGGAGGGGCTGGGCGGAAGGGGGAGGAGCTGGGCGGCAGGGGAGGGGCTGGGCGGCAGGGGGGAGGGTTGGGCGGCAGGGGGAGAAGCTGGGCGGCAGGGGGAGGGGCTGGGCGGCAGGGGGGAGGGTTGGGCGGCAGGGGGAGGAGCTGGGCGGCAGGGGGAGGGCTGGGCGGCAGGGGAGGTGTTGGGCGGCAGGGGGAGGGGTTGGGCGGCAGGGGAGGCGTTGGGCGGCAGTGAGAGGGGCTGGGCGGCAGGGGGGGAGGGGCTGGGCGGCAGTGAGAGGGGCTCGGCGGCAGGGGAATGAACAGACAAACGGATAGAGAGAAAGGGGAGGGATTAAGAGGGGAAGGTAAACAAGGAAATAATGAGGAAGCGAAAAGTTATGAGGAAGGACAAGCAGGGGTGTGAGGCCTCCACGAGGTCGTCACACAATATGGCTGAGAACACAGACAAATTTAACTGTTATATACGATGAAGAAGAGGAACAGTTCCGGATGGACCAGCGGATGTGGAGCGTTAAGAGTCCGGAGCCAGGAGTCTCCAGGGCCAGGAGACGAGTCTCTCCAGGGCCAGGAGACGAGTCTCTCCAGGGCCAGGAGACGAGTCTCTCCAGGGCCAGGAGACGAGTCTCTCCAGGGCCAGGAGACGAGTCTCTCCAGGGCCAGGAGACGAGTCTCTCCAGGGCCAGGAGACGAGAACCACCCAAATCTCCCTTGGCCCTCCAAGAGCCCCCTTCCCCATCCAGAACCCCCCCTTCATCCTCCAGAGCCCCTTTCTCCCCCCACTCTCCTGTGGTAACCCCGCCCCACAGTGAGTGTAGCTCCGCTATTGGAAGTGGGAAGCTCAATGCTGGCGCCTCTAGCCCCCTTCCCAATCACCTCCCTTCCCCCTCCTTCCCTCCCCCTCTCATCCCCCTCCAAATTTGGTTCGTGGGGCACCACCCCCTCGCGGCCAGACCCCGTGTTTCCCGCCATGTTTACACGCTTGACCCACCTCCCACAAAAAGTATACCCAGGCTTTTGTTTCCTGGTGATTCACGCGCCCAAACAACTTCTAAGCCCCCTTTGAGAGTCCTGTTTACACCCTTTCTGGATTTATTGATTGGCTGCATCAGCTGGCAATTGCAAACTCAGTTTTAGATATTCAACTGAAACGATTTAGTGAAGTGTTATCATTGTGGTGGTGATGTCTGCCTGGTCAGCTGATATGGTCATTATGCAGCTATACGCTATAGTCGTGATGTCTTTCATTTGATAAGAAATACGACTCAAACATCGTCGTATTTCGTTCAGCATATAATCTGCCTGCAAAGAAGGAGTTGACTATAACTTCGGATTGCCTATAAGCAGTCCTAAGTACGGTGTTAATATTAGAATGTCAAAAATGATGTATTTAGCGTATATAAGGTCTCTGATAGACTAGACAGAATATTTGAAATCAATCTTATGATGGGACTAAAGCATTTGCGTGCTAACAAAAGCAATATTGTTCATTTGCACTGTTAGAACACATACGAAATGGAACCAGCGAGTCTAAATGGATTCAAAGAACAGCCACTCATATTAAAATAATGGGACTGTACGATGTATATACAGATGAAAGAGTACAGCACTTCCTTCCACCCTGGCAGATAGTACCTTTTGACATCCTGACCCCTGCATACCCCACCAAGAAACTAATCACAAACAACCCTCATGCTCAGCTTGCTGCTAAATTAAGCACCATAGAACACATTCACAATATACAAGCTGAAAACAACATAGCACAGACCATATACACTGACGGATCACTCAATACAGCTACAGGGAGGGCAGGAAGTGCTGTTATTGCTCATCAGCCCGATGGCAGCACAATTCAAAGGAATATAAGAATTAGTAACTGGGCATCCACAATGCAAGCTGAGTTGGTAGCAATACTGGTAGCACTCGAAATTATTGACAACACTGAAGTAGACAGCTTAATTATTTCTGACTCCCTTTCCTCACTACGAGCAATAAACAGTTTGCAATCAAGTAATAACGTGCTTGTCTCAGAAGCTAGACATAGATATATAAGCATACTTAGCAAGAGGGTAAATATAAAAATGTTGTGGATTCCTTCTCACATTGGCCTGCAGGAACATGACAAAGTTGACGCCCTTGCTAAGGCTGCAGTAAATAAAGACAGTATTGAACGGAATCTTGAGTTATCAAATAGGTCCCTTAAAAGTGTCATTAGACGAGAACTCCTGGATGGATTTGAAGAAAGTAGAACAGTGCAAACTGGAACTAGCAGGTCCATTGTTTATCACAATGAAATGTGTGAAGTAAAACATGTGTATGGGGCAAGTAACAAAGTCAGTAGACTAACAGATGTTGTCACAGCTCGTATAAGACTTGGCTACAAGTATCTCTGGCAGTTCGGCTTGTATAGGGATCTAGATGAAGTAAAGTGTAAAGTGTGTGGACAAAGACAGGGACACACACTCGAACACTATATCTTGGATTGTAGTAAAATTGAGCCATTTAGAGATAAATCTAAGCTCACGCTGTATGATATGGCAACCTATCTTATTACCAAGGATAAATTACCTGAAATCCTTGCACTGTATCCATATTTCGCTTCCAGTAGATAAACGACATATGAGATTAAGAAACAAGTAGTGTATTGTGAAGACTAATAATAAACAGAAGCTCCCCTATGACTAATATCTCCATTGGTCAAACTATTATGTATTAGCGATAAGACCTACCATTAATGTATAATGACTTACTGCAAATATATAGCCTTTGAAATAGAATATTCTCTGTAACTAGCTGACATATAACTATAAGGTGTGAAGGATAGATGAAATTCTTTATGTAATAATCTAAGATGAGGTCTGATAAAGACCTTTTGTGCCCTCTGTAATGCTTTTTGCGCTACCGCTCACAGGATGAGTATGGGGTGCACAATAATCTAGCCGCCTCCCGCGGCAACAATCAAAATCACACAAAAGTATTCACCATTACGTAGACCTGATCAAATGTAAACTGTTAACAAAATTATTCACACAAAAGTATTCACCATTACGTAGACCTGATCAAATGTAAACTGTCAACAAAAGTATTCACACACCCTCCGTCGCTATGCGTGGAGTACGAAAAGAATGAATTTACAGTAAGGACACATCTTTATTAAATATTTACGAATTGCGTAATTTTTCACTCAAAATTATTTACACCAAACATTTTATCAAATATCCATCCCATCCTCCGAATTGACAGTACGATTTAATACTAAGTGTAATAAGTATATTTTCTTACTATCATAAACAATGCATAATTACATTTATGGGGCTGTTACATTTACCCAACTCCCTCCCCCGATTTAAT